AAGGAGATGTATACTCTTGATGAGTATTTAGACATAAGAAACTATAAAACCTCGAAAGAGGTTCAGGTACCTGAAATATTGAAAATTGAGATATTTCAATAAATTATGTCATTATGGGAAAAGAAATTCAAAGAAAAAGTTGTCGACAACACTTTTGCTCATGATGTACTGCATCATATTATGAATGACGGGGAATCAAAATAAATTCGTCAAAACATATCGATCGAAATAATGATTGACCAAATAAATGACGCGATCATATTAAAATTGAATTCATTAGATAAACTTGAAGTTTCTGGACGCGATCCTACTAACATTGAATTTACTAGAGAAACCTAAAATTTCTAAATTTATAATTTGAACACCTAAATGTATATACTTATGCGAAATGAAAATAAAAAAGTAAAGTCGTAATATGAAATGTACAACTCTTTACATAATGAATTTCGCGAAAACTTGTATAAATAGATAAATTATCATGTGGTGAATGTAATCACAAGTCTTTGTTTAATTAGTGTGACAATGCATGAAATTTGATATGAACGTAGTAAATGTGATTATAGACAATTTATCTTATATGTTTTTGATAATATCCTATAAGGATTTAATATGCCTCGAGCATAATTCAAATAATATTATCATCAGGGAGAGTGAATACACATTGTACCATTTTTGCCTTGGCCAAGAATTTGTCCCATTGAATTTTTCTGACAAGGCATTTAATGAGGCAATTTTTATAACTTATTCAAAAGAATAATGCAATCTTTTTCCTTAATTAGGATTTTTCCCACGAGATTTTTCCTAATAAGGTTTTAATGAGGTATATTCTTTGTGTAATGAATGTCCATAACCCATAAGACATTTACTCTCAAAATAATACTCTGATATACATGAAACTCCAAAAGAGATCACCAAAAGCTATTTTTCGAATCACCATGTAACTATAGTCATCAAAGATTGATAAAAATTTCGTATGAAGACGACATTATTTGAAGACATTGGTGTACACGATATCAATATTGAAGACATTGACATATAAGACATGAATCTTTTGATACAAAAATTGAAATCAGGAGGAGTAGCTATATTCTTTTTCCTTCTATCAAGTTTTGTTCCACTGGATTTTCTTGACAAGATTTTAATGAGGCATCATTTTATTACTTCAAATTATTTGTACCCTTTTTTTCATTTGTTGATATTTTTTCCCATCGGGCTTTTACCAAAAAATGTTTTAATGAGATAATTATTTAGTACTATCATAATACATAGATAAGTCTTATCTAGTTAGAAAATCTATTCCATCATAATTATAACTCTTATTATGAACCCTAAGAATTTGGCGCATTGGTTCTCAATTAAAAAAAAACACTTCTTTAGTTTTGATTCTCTATTTTTCTCTCTATTTGTTCTCTATATTTCTCTTTCATTCTTTTAATTTCATAACAAGAATTAAATATTAGTATTAGAAGTTTTTATAGGCACGTTATAAACTTGGGCAAAAGTGTTCTGTTAGAAAAGACCAAATTAGAAAGAGACGTGTGGTTTGATCTTTTAACTAAAAAAAAGTGACACGGCAAAAAAGAATTGGCGAACAATTAAAAATCATATCCAAACATGCTTCAAAATCTTCAAAATTAAAATATAATTGTCTATTAAAATACTGAAAAGGAAACAAAAATCCTTTTCTAATCAGTGAATAAGAAGCAAAAGCAAACAAGATACTCAAAAAACTCAAATTCAGAATTATTTACTGAACAATTTGAATCAAAATTCATTAAATTATGTAATAAAAAGCTTCAAATTAAAAATGAGATGTTACGAGAAAAAAAGGTGAAATTTCAATGCTGATTGTAGAATAAATTTGAAATAGAAGAAGAAATTAACACCAAAATTTGAAGAATGAATGCGATATAAAGACGTGGAGTTCTGATTTTATTTATTTTTACAAATTTTAAGTAAGAACTAAGCAAAATTTCGTTACAATAATTTGGAGATTTTTTTTTTTTTTTTTTAATTCTAAACTTGATTTTGATAGGAAATTTTTTTGAGAGTTTTTCAATTTTTAGATTTGTGTCCGGTTAGGTTCTTAGTTTGGGGCTTTTGAGTGTAGCTTTGTTTATGGTGTAACTAGGTGCAAACAACGTGCAATGCACGTTTGCCTAGTTTATATTTAATAGTTTTGTTTAATAATTAATTTGTTATTAATAAATATGTAATTTTTTTGGTTAATTAAATAATTAATGATGTAATGTTTATGTAATTGATAAATAATTAGATGTGTGATTTTGATGTTGTGATGTAAGTTGGTGAGATCGAAGAAAATAAGCAAAAGTTGACAAATTTGGA